TAAGGTCCAAAGGGTCCAAAATTAAACTTAGTTTGATTTTAACAAAAATTGAATTTTTGGGGTTCTTTGATATGCTGAATCTAAACATGTGTTTAGATTTTTGATTATGGGCCCAGTTTTCAAGTTGGTCCAAGTTGGGGTCCAAAATTAAACTTTGTTTGATTTCAACAAAAATTGAATATATTGGGTTCTTTGATATGCTAAATCTATACATGTGTTTAGATTTTCGATTTTTGGCCCAGTTTTCAAGTTGGTCCAAATTGGGGTCCAAAATAAAACTTTGTTTGATTTCAACAAAAATTGAATATATGGGGTTCTTTGATATGCTGAATCTTACCATGTATTTAGATTTTTTATTTGTGGGCCCGCTATCAAATTGGTTCATATTGAGGTCAAAAGGGTCCAAAATTAAACTTTGTTTGATTTCATCAAAAATTAAATTATTGGGGTTCTTTGATATGCCAAATCTAACCGTGTTTTTAGATTTTTAATTTTGGGTCCCGTTTTTTAAATTGGTCTACATTAAGGTCCAAAGGGTCCAAAATTAAACTTTGTTTGATTTTAACAAAAATTGAATTCTTGGGTTATTCGATATGCTGAATCTAAACATGTATTTAGATTTTTGATTATGGGACCAGTTTTCAAGTTTGTCCAAGTTGGGGTCCAAAATTAAACTTTGTTTGATTTCAACAAAAATTTAATACATGGGGTTCTTTGATATGCTGAATCTAACCATGTATTTTGATTTTGGACATTGGACCATAATAGGTAAATTAAAAAAATTGAAGTTCTTAGACCACATTCTTTCTGTGTCAGAAACCTATGCCGTGTCAAATATTTAATCACAATCCAAATTCAGAGCTGTATCAAGCTTGAATGTTGTGTCCATACTTGCCCCAACTGTTCAGGGTTCGACCTCTGCGGTCGTATCAAGCTGCGCCCAGCGAAGCATTTTATTATTAATTATAATGTATGTTTACAAATGAATTATACATGATATATACATGTACTTTTATGTTCACAAATGAAATATATCACATATTGATTTTAAAACTACACATATCAAATCAATATAAATTAAATATACCCTGTGTTGGGTTGGACATTTATAATTATTTATATGGTATGGTTATATGTTTTTTTGTAGAATGCCACCAAAGAAGTCTGGGTTAAGGCCAGCTAAAAGAAGAAAACTAATAAATGACAACATTGAGCCAACAAATGTTAATGTTGATACTATGACCAATGCTATGGCAGATGCCATTTCAGCCGCTGTAACGGCTAAAGTTATGGAAAATTTAAAGGACAATGGTATTCTACCTCAAACTATTACACAACCTCACAGTAGGGAAGCTGCAGTTAAAGCATCTACTCAGGAAATTTTATGTGACAATACTGTCACAGCTGCAAATGGTAATTTTGATAACAGTATTACAGTTGGCTCTAATAGAAGTGTGAATGCTAATGATAATATCACAAGTCAAACTGGAATAAGAATTCCTGCACAACATATAACAACAAATTTAAACACGTCCAATTATGGCGCAGCAGCATATATTCCACTTGGTAGACCATTATATATGAAAATAAATGTAAAACTACAGGACAGAATTATTAGTAAAGATTTTGTAGAAATGTCTGATATTTTAGTGGATCACCATCCTTCTGAAGTTGATCTTCATCTTGCTGTACAAAATAAAAGGGTGGGCTTGTCATCTGGAAAAAAAAACTATAGAAAACTGGGCTGATGCTTTTGCAATTTTCTCATCAGTTCTAAGGAAAGCCAATCCAAATCACCTCACTTTGACAGAGGATTTGGCGATATATGTAGATTTGATACGTCAAATTCAGAAGGATGGTGGGGATTGATACTTGTATGACGTTAATTTTAGACAGGCATTGCAACATGATCATGCAATATGTTGGAATTATGTTGACCAAATTCTTCATACAAGGGCACTTAATAGAACCCTTAATAAACAAAATACTACACATGGGTTTACTGGTCAGAAAAGAACACAAAACAATAATATGTTAAAAGCAAAGCTTCAGAGGTGGAAGTGTGTTTTCGTAAATTTAAACATAATATTAGAGGCCTATCTAAAATCATCAAATTTTCAAATGGACCTGCAATTGAATCAACAGTAGGAGCTATAGTAGATTATCTACAAGTTAGACCACATACCCCATTAGACACTCCATTTTTGTGTTCTATGACCAGCATCCCTTTACAACGTTCATATTTTGATAAAATGTTACACAAATGTTTACAATCATGTGGTTTAGACAGCACTAGATATAAAGGTTATAGTTTTAGGATAGGAGCAGCTACATATGCTGCTGAACGAGGCATGTCTGATTCACAAATTCGCACAATGGGTCGTTGGAAATCCAATGTTTTCTAAAAGTACATAAGACATACGTACATAAGACCCCATACCAATTAACAGAATGTTATTGATACTTGCTTGGGCTGGTATCAATGCTTTTATCCTTTTAACATGCTACTACATGTTTGGACACATTTATAAACATTGCTGTAAGGCGTCAAATTAACAGAATTTTTTCAATTGAAAGCAATTTGGAAAGTACTTATAAATAATAAGTATAATTTGATGTATGCTGAGTTTCTTATTATGTAAAACTTAACTGCTTTGGCCGTTAAGTAATTTTAAGTTACATTTAACATTAGTATGCTACACATCTGTTTGTTTCAAGTTTTTTAACTATAGTGACAATGGTTTTTGTTTTTTATGTATAGTTTTCCTTGTTGTTACATCTTAATTTTTATTACATGTATTTTTGGAACTATAGTTTTCACGTTTTGTATGAATGATCCATGCCTCAATATAGCATAGTTACAGTGAACTGTCACTTCATATGAAAAATTTCAGTACTACTTCCTTGGGCCGGTAGTTCTGTTTTTATGGTTGCCAATTTCTTAGCCTGTGTGGTAGGATAGATGTTATTGCATATCATTTTTCCTGGTGGCATATGTGACCCCATTCTAGGCCAAGAGTTTATGTTACATAATGGTATGTGACAATTTTATTGTTTTGTAATTTACTTATGTTCATTAAGAACATTTTTCACTTATCTTTTATATGTTGTAAATAGTTTAAAGTTATGTAATACTTTACGTAATACTTTATGTTTTGAAAATTTTACTTTAAAAGTAAAAATTCACAATATCATATTCTGTGTTTGTTATACTTTACTTTTATAACTTAATTACTTATACTCTAAAGAGATGGTTTAGTTTAGCGTCTGTTGTGGATTGAAGGAGGAGGGCATAAAGGCAAGTTATTTTAATAACTATTTTTATGTTGACGATTGAAATCTTTTTATAAATTAGATTAACATATAATTTCCATTTTTAACGATACCCTTTTGAGAGCCTCTTATTTTAAGCCAAGATGAAGAGTTTTGATTGGTCAGCTATATTTGAATATTCCATAATCAATTATTTAGACAGAAAGAGGATCGATACTATTTGTAATCAATAAGTTATTTTTGATCTCCTTGATTTTCCCGCCCTTTTTCCCCATCATCTATCTTTTTTTAACTTAGTTAAGAATTCATGTGCTTATTCTGTTTATGATTTTGTTGGTATAAGAATATTGTAACATATCTTCACATAGTAACTTTGTAATGTTTTTATTTTATTAGTATTGTTTTACATTTTTTCCTCTTCTTAGATTATAATTAGCTTCTACTCTGCTTTAGCTGGGGCATATGTGACCCCATTCTAGGCCAAGAGTTTATGTTACATAATGGTACTAGTATGTGACAATTTTATTGTTATGTAATTTACTTATGTTCATTAAGAACATTTTTCACTTATATGTTATATGTTGTAAATAGTTTAAAGTTATGTAATACTTTACGTAATACTTTATGTTTTGAAATTTTTACTTTGAAAAGTAAAAACTCACAATATCATATTCTGTGTTTGTTATACTATACTTTTATAACTTAATTACTTATACTCTAAAGAGATGGCTTAGTTTAGCGTCTGTTGTGGATTGAAGTAGGAGGGCATAAATGCAACTTATAACCATATAAATACATGCAACCTAGCGAAACGTCTTATATGTTTATAGTTAGCAATTCACAAAGTGATTATCAAAATCAGAGTTGACCCTTAAGAAAAAAAAAAAATTTGTTACAGAAAAAAAGCTCCTTTACGTTTTACGTCAGCTCAACGTTTTAATTTTCATAACATGAAAAGTTTTCCATAAATTTAAAGAAATGCCTATCAATCGAAATCAAATACAAGCAAGGTAATGATATTTTAAATTTGAATATATGCTTTCAAAATCCCACTGTCGCTAACATGGTTAACTAATCAAAACGATAACATGTATGTAAAAAATGATCAAATGTTTTGATTCACTATGAATAGCCTGGTTTACATGTATACGTTACTGAAACAGAGTCATTTCGTCTTTAAATGCTTAGAAAACTATTTGAGAATTCAAACGCGTTTTATAATGTAAGGAATACTGTAAAGATTCTAAAAGGGAACTTTTTTTGTAAGAGATTTCATTAGGCCAATTTTGCAACCAAGAAAACATCCATAACGTATTACATGATGTAAATTTGATATGTCGATAATCAGAGATGAAACATAAAACATTACATAAAAGTTTGGCACGAGGAAGCATGAATAATTTGTATCAAAGTATATCTAGTGTTACACACATACGTTAAATAAAAAAAAACAAGTTTCCTGACACAAAGTTCCAACGTATAGCATATTCTTGTCAAACATTATACAATATATTCATGTTTATCTTTTTCTGTTCATTGCCATATATTTTGTTGTAATGCTACTAGTAAGTCTAGATACGACCTTTAAACAATAAAGACAATGATGTTAACCATTATTTGTCAATACATAATAAAACAAACCAAATATCTTTATAACACGTTATCCATACGTATCCTTTCTATCCTTTTGATATGTTTAATACTTTGAGGTGATATATATATATATATTTTTCATTATCAGCAGCAGGATTGCCAAAATCATTTGATAATTAATCCTTTACATCAATGATGTTAAGGTTTTATAATTTTTTCGATGAAATGCTATATTTCTAATAAGAAATGAAGAAATTTTTTGAGGAAAATGTTTGAGGCATTTATTTTATATTATAGACGTATTTGTGGCAGATGTCCTTGATTTTCTACGAGAAAGTACATTGATAAAAGACGATTCGAAATGTGAAGAGGTTGTGATGAATCCGTCACATTTAGGAAATAGGTCGACATACACATAACCCCAAATGAAATACTTACGTACTTTCTTCAATTCTTGTTATTTCTTATTTTTTAAAACATAATGAAAAGGTATAAAGGCTCGTTCTGTATTTTATGAATACCTTAAGTATGTTTTAATGCCCCTTTTCTAGCAACTGCTTTGGGGGATAAACCATCTGTAAAACTAGTGTTGATAGTTGCTCCGTGGTTGAGTAGGTTATATACAATGTCGATGAATCCGTTTATACTTGATTTAAATAGAGGCGTATGTCCATTTTTGTCTTGTGCGTTTCCATATGCCTTATTAACTATCATGACTATATTCTTATTACTAAAATAAAACAAATATTTTGATAATATATTGACTAAATCTATATTCACGGTATTACAAGTAAATGCAAGTGATGATCAGTTATTTTTGTCTCACTTTTTAACATTTGTCCTTGACTGCAACAATAAATCGATCACTTTTGTATGCTTCCCTTCGCGAGCAAGTATTAGTGGGTTTATTGTATGTTTATCAGATATATTAGGATTTGCGCCTTTTTGTAGAAGCACATCAACAATTTTATGAAAACCGTACATAGAACTAAAAAAAAGAGCCGTCCATCCATGGTTGTCTTTTTCGTCCACAACGGCTTTATTATCCAATAAGATTTTGACCACATTATAATGCCCATTCTTGCAAGCTTCGTGGAGAGGTGTTTCACCTTCTTTCGTTCTGTGATTAACTGACGCTTTTGCGTGAATTAAGATTTCTATTATACTATCATTGCCCGCTTTGCATGCCTCGTGTAAAGGTACAACGCTTGGTTTCTTATTGTTAACCCTAGCTCCATTCTGTAAAAGCATTTTTACCATAGCACTATTTTCCTTTTTACAACAAACACGAAGAGGTGTCATTCCACTATCAGTTTTCTGATTTACTTTGGCTTTTCTCTCTAGCAAAAGTTGTAGAACTCTATGATGATTTTCACTACATGCAATATATACAGAGGTTTTACCAGATGAATCTACCGCATTGACATATGCATCACAACCAAGAAGAGCTGAAACTATTTCAGAACTTCCTTTGTAACATGCTAAATGTAACGGTGTACATCCATCCGCATCCTCAACATTTACTCCTGCCTTATTTTTAAGCAGTAACGCTGCAAGATGTGAATGTCCACTTGCACATACCACGTGTAGAACACATCTATTATTCTTTGTTCTATATTTTTCATTTACCTTTATCCACTTAGCCGAGTTATGCAACATATAATTTGCAACATCAACAAAACCATTTTCACAAGCATGAAAAAATGGCTTTAATTCGTCGTTGTTTGAAATATCAACAGAAGATTTGTTTTCAATGAGGTCCTTTACTATTTTTAGATGACCATTCTTGCACGCTAAATGCAAAGGTATATTGCCAGCGGCGTCCTTTTCATTAATTATCCGTGTATAATGTTTGAAAAACGAAACATACTCATGATATCCCAGAGCAGACACAACATGAAGGGCTGTCGTTCCTTCTTGTGATTTTGTCAATTCATTAACTGTTATATTTTGTTTAATATATTCGAGAAACTTTACCCTGAATTTGGGTAATACGTTTTGTGCACTTTCGAAAACATCTTTATACAGTCCGTTATTCAATTCAATAACAAGTCGTCGGAAATATGCATTTGTGTTTTCTCTTGTTACTTTTATATCGAAGACATCTTGTTCTTCATTTATACAATACACCCGCATCTGATTTAATATCACGTCAGTTTTACAATACTTAACGGTTGTTTTCCTGAATGTTTTTGCAATACAACAAAGAACAATCTTTTGCATAATTTCATCAATAAACACGAAACAACCACGCAGTTCTTTCACATAATCCCCTTTTAAAGCTGTCAAAGTAGATTGCAGACGATTTTTCGATTGATTTTGAACAAAACTGAATTCAAGCAACAAATCCTGCATTAATTCGTCATATTCATGAATTTCGTTTGTGGTCGATTTCTTTGGAATGATTTGTATGATTGCAAGAATAGCCAATGCAAGAAAAGTTTCTTGGGATTTGATCTTGAAATTATTCAACTCGTCTTCAATAATCAAATAAAGAACTTTTAAACAATGTTTTAAATATATTTCTTTTGACGATGAATACATTGCGCATACCGATGGAAAACTACTATACATCATTATTCCTTCCTTTTTCAAAGTCCTTGCAACGTCGATGCAAATATAAGATTTGCAGATATCCCATCTCTCTTTGTTTAATAGCTTTAGGTCTTCCGATAACAAATCACTCGTGCAATATGGAATGTTTAAGCATTTATACCATTCTGGTTGCCAAATATATGTTCTACTTGTAAGAATGATTTTTGTTTGATGATCCTTTTTGCTGAACAACATTTTCAATAAAGGTCCATTTTGTACCCATAATTCTGCATCTGTTTTATCAACTGCATACTTTCCGATAAAATCATCGATGATGAAAATTTGTTTTGTGCCTGGTATATGATAGGTTGTAATGTCACCGAGTTTCCTGACTGGTAGAATTGTGTAGCCAACTTCCTCTTTTAGTCTGAAAGCTGCATAATAAGCATTATTCGATTTACCTATCCCAGTCGGACCTACTATAAGAATAACGTTTTGGGTTTTTGTGTTATCATATATAACATCTGCCGCTCTTGTTTTAACAAACTTTTCAAGTTTACAAGCCCAGTATGTAAGTGTTTCCTTTTCAAATTCTGTAGAAATATTGAAAAAATGAAAAAATAAAAACTATGAATGTAAAAATACACAATATAAGCATATAGTTTTTTCTTCTATGTATATAAAGTAATGATATTGCAAGGAGCTTCTTCTGCATGTGAAAAAAAATAATGATCAATTATAGACTTCTGACTTCTTATATTAACCGTCGTCCTCGGTTTAATATAATCTAACCGGTCTATATATAACGTTGTGACTGAGTCTAGTAAACGTCCTTTATTTATATATCACATATGTAAATAGTGTATTAAAGGAAATCGCCTTCAGTGTTTTTATGTGTATTTTACATTGTATTGTGCAAGATTTTTAATATTGACCGTCAATATATATGTAGGATTCACATCCATGGTTGGTTCATGATACCATCCCCTTCTTCTTGCTTTCTTACAAATTAAGCTTACTGTTTGTGTCATATATGTTCATATGTATGTAATTAGCATTTTCAATAGATTTGATTTCCAGTAGTTAAACTGGTGAAATACAATTTCATTTTGGTGTATCCATGACAACAATCTATATTTATTTGCTATAAAATGTTGTCAAATGTGTGTGAAGATGTCACATATTTCCCCAAAATTTGTTTAATAGTAGAATTTCAATCCCTTGGAGTGGTACCTTTTCTGAGAATGATTACATATATCAATCTGGAGATCAAACAAAAATCATGTCTTTCGTCTCATTTTTTCGTAAAATTGCATCAAAAAGTTCGTGTGAAAAAAAAAACGGGTTTCTAAACATTACAATAATTTCGTGACCTATGGCCGGTCGGAATATGAAAATACGGACTGTCAAACACAAAATAGCCTATTCAATATTTTCAATAAAGGTCCATTTTGTACTCATAATTCTGCATCTGTTTCATCAACCGCATACTTTCCGATAAAATCATCGATGATGAAAATTTGTTTTGTGCCTGGTATATGACAGGTTGTAATGTCATCGAGTTTCCTGACTGGTAGAATTGTGTACCCAACTTCTTCTTTTAGATTGAAAGCTGCATAATAAGCATTATTCAGTTTTGCCAAATACAGCTGAGGTAATATAATCCTGCGGTAAAAGATCCTTAGTACTTCGAACATTCTCAACGTTCTGTAACTAGTTAACACATTGCTTGTGCGAAATAACATACTAAAGAACTGTATTAGTTTTTAATCGTGTATTGGTTTATGAGTATGCTATAGAATTTTGGTCCTCAATGCTCTTCAACTTCGTACTTTATTTGGCCTTGTTAACTTTTTTGGATTCTAGCGTCACTGATGAGTCTTTTGTAGACGAAACGCGCGTCTGGCGTAAATACAAAATTTTTTCTTGGAATCTATGATGAGTTTATTTACATGTTATTCATGTACCTTGAACAAACGACGAAAGTTTTACTTCATTCTTTTCAAGCTTCCTGATATTGCTCCTTTCTTTCATGTCAATTTCTCTTTCAAATTTATCGGCTACAACAGTTCCACTTCTATCTTCAATATTGTCGTCCTTTTTGTCAGGCATTTTAGGTATTTCTGCCACAATACAAAAACTTGTATATTTTTATAGCTTCTTTTAACGTACATATGTATTTTCGGATTAGTAATTTCTTTTGTTTTAAACAAACTAGCTATGCATCACATGTGACTTAAAGATATATTAAAACCCTTTATTGTTTTTCATAATTGAAAGAAATTATACTTTTAAAAGCCTATTTTACCTACCTGCATCTATAGCATATATTCAAATAAGGGCTTCACTCAATCATCGTTCACTAACAACAATTCATGACTAAAAGTACTTTTTTAATCATATCTTACTGAACATTTTTACTACTTACAGTTTCTATTTATCTGCTACAGTTTTTGCCCAAAATACAAAAAAAAAATTCGTAAGGGTTCCGCGGAACCCAGTGTCTCGCCTACGTTTGCTGTTAATTGCAGGCTCAACAAAAATGAGGAAAAAAATCAATAAAAATATTCCTTTAGATACTATCTTTTGATTGTAAGAAGCTTCTGTCAAAGTTTGGTATAAATCCAGGATAGTTTATGAATCTAATAAATGTTTTAAAAACTTTAACTGCAGACTGTATTTAATGTTAACTGGAAGAAAAACTAAGTCCATTTATAAGTAAAATACGGATAAGCAGGTACAAATTTTAACAAAATTTCCTTCTAGATACTAGCTTTTGATCATAAACAAGCTTCTGTCCAAAATTTGGTTCAAATCCAGGATAGTTTAAGAAAGTTATTAAAATTTCAAAAACTTTAACCACAGAGTGAATGTAGTGTTTCCTGGCAGAAAAACTAAGTCCATTTATAAGTAAAATACGGAAAAAAAGAAATTTTATTTTTACAAAATTTACTTCTGGATACTATCTTATGATCATAAACAAGCTTCTGTCCAAGTTAGGTACAAATCCAGGATAGTTTAAGAAAGTTATTAAAATTTTAAAAACTGTAACCACAGAGTGAATGTAATGTTTCCTGGCAGAAAAACTAAGTCCATTTACAAGTAAAATACGGAAAAACAGGAATTTTATTTTTACAAAATTTACTTCTGGATACTATCTTATGATCATAAACAAGCTTCTGTCCAAGTTTGGTAGAAATCCAGGATAGTTTAAGAAAGTTATTAAAATTTCAAAAACTTTAACCACAGAGTGAATATTTGTGGACGCCGCCGACGACAACGACGACGACGACGACGACGCCGACGGAATGTAGGATCGTTATGTCTCGCTTTTTCGACTAAAGTCGAAGGCTCGACAAAAATGGGTAGGACACGTCGACTGACAATTCCAGTTATGTAACAAAAGTGTTGGTCTTGTTTTGCTGATCAATTTGTATGTTTACAGTTTTCCTTATCCGACAAAGTTTTCATCCAAAATTCAAGAAATAGTATACATCATTAAAAGAGGACAAACACTCCTATATAAAGTTGACTGGCAATTTCAGCAAACTTGAATTTCGAAATAATGTAGATTGGCCTGCAGATTAGTTTGCTTGTTAAAGTGTCTTGTACTATGTATAATGTATTTCATTTTTATAGATAATATGTGAGAAACCGCCCAAAAATGGTATCAATCGGTATTTTAGAGCATTGATTCCAATAAGGAGTTGACAGACAACTTGGGCCATGTTGATATTCATGTTGATCTAGTCGCTGCTAATTTTTTTTTTGGTTTTTTTTTTTTGCTTTCTATCTATTATAGGTTCCTAGATAATAAGCAAAAACGAAACTATTTGAAAAAAAAATGTCATTTAAGAGCAATATCGTTTAACTTTCGGCAATATTGACTTGTTCGTATATCTTGTCTTGATGATCATATTTACCCTTTTAAACTTTTTTTCTATATTTTATAGTTTTTAAAATAAAAAGCAATAACGCCCAAAATAAAGAAAACACTTTTTAACGACAAAAACTTGTATAAAGAGTCAATTGACGATTTCGGCCTGTTGACTTTTTGTTTAGATCTTATATTACTGGTATGTTTTTATTGTTTAAGACTCTATCTATCTATTATAATTTTCAAGAAAATAGACAAATAATTCCTGCCCTTGTCTTATTCACTTTATTTTCAAGATAATAGTCAATCTATACAGTCCGCCAAAAGTTAAGCACCACCTTAATATAACTGGCAATATTTTTTTTTAAATATTGCGAAAAAAATATTTATGTTTAGTGTTATAAATTGCCTATAACATACACTAAGAAAATTCATTACGACCAAAAAAAAACTCCGATAAACACGCCAAGCATTTTTTTTATTAAAGGTCATCTGCACTTTTTCGAATACACTGTTTCGATGCCTTTAAATCATCTTCCTACTGTCCCGTGTACAGGTGAAATTTGACCTTCACCAAGTCACTTTGAAATATGGCAAGGGGTAAGTTATATGTGACTGAACCTTGACAAGCAATTGACATGTCAAACGCCGGTAGGAGCACTAGTTGCATAGGTAACCATTTCAATGTTAAACACACCGTCATTGTCAGATTTTTACAACGTCATGTTGACACAGGAACTGTAAATGATAGACCAAGATCCGGAAGACCCCGTTTAACTACCGATCGTGATGACAGACTCCTTATTGGTTGTGCTAAAGCCAACCCTTTTACTCCTGCCACACAATTTAGACACCACTGGGTTAAAGGTGGTCATGTTAGTGTTGGAAACAGCCAGGCACCGTATAATCAGGTTTCAAAGGGCTAATGACCATCGACGCTGGAACATGAGAAGCTGGCAAAATGTTCATTGGTCAAATGAGAGTCAGTTTCTGTTACGACCAATAGACGGCAGAACACGAGTTTGTCGTGGAAATAAAACTGCTAATGACCAAAACAACATTTGCCCAACGACTGCATACGTTGCTGGTGGTGTTACAGTATGGGGTTTCTTCTCATACTGTTGTAAGGTGGGTATGCATATTCTGCAGGGTACCATGAACGGACAGACATACAGGGATTTGGTGCTTAGAAACATTGTAGTCCCTCATTTTGATAATCCTCCTCTTGCCTCAAGACCCTTATGCATGTACAACAATGCTAGACCACACAGGGCAAGGATTGTAACCGAGTTCAAAGAGTACAAAGAGCAAGAAGCCATTGACATTATCCTTTGGCCTTCCATGTCTCCAGACATGAACCCTATGGAACATATCTGGGATGCCTTTGGCAGAATTCTCAATCGCAGAAATCCACCTTTGCAAAATCTTAACGATTTAAGAAGCGCAATTGTTGCTGAATGGAATAAGTTTGCTCAACTAAAGTTCAGAAGGCTTGTACAGAGTATGAGACTCCGTGTTATGGAACTCTACCGGAAGAGAGGGTGTTACACATCCTGTTGACTCAAATATTGACATTAAATTTGCCGAACATACCAAAGATTATTTGTAGAGACTTTTAATGATATTGGGTGATTAATTGTTGTAAAAAAATAAAATCACAGGGAAACTTAAATTCCGTTTCTGATTTGTGTAATTTTCACTATTTCTATGAACGCAAATTTCAAATGCATAGAACCTGCATACGTGAACAAACTTAAGTCTACGGTTTGTTTATGGTATATGTTAGCAAAATTGATACATGAATATTTTCTCTTTTTCGAGGATTAACTGATTTTTTTAAATGAACAAAAAATCGATGCAATAAAAATAGGTGGTGCTTAACTTTTGGCGGACTGTATATTTAAAATTAGTTCTCCGCACTTGCTCCTCATTTTCGTTCGTTTGTTTATATGTCGCGCGCGAAAAAAATGAGGAGCAATTGTGGAGTACTAATTTTAATTGGATTGGATAACAGTCAAAGCTTTCATTACAATAATTTGAAAACGTATTGTGCCATGTACAAAACAAAGTCAAGGAAAATTATATTTTCTTAATTTACACTTTTACTTTTGATTTCATCACACAAGATGGAGTTTGAATCTTTCATTCCATTGACAATAACTATAATACTAGTCACTGAAATTCAATTGATAATGAAAACATGAAATGTTTTACTAGAGAAGAATCGAGTTATTGTGTTATTTTTTGTAATTTTGGGCAGCGGGGTTCATGATTTTCGCCGCTAACTTCTCCGACAGTTTTCACACTTAAAGCTTAATAATAAGTACGGTATGATAAGTTTACTCATTTGAAAATATTGAACTAATCAAGATTCTGTTTTCATGAAAACTTCCACTAATGATTGGTTGTTGAAATTGTCACGCAGGGAACATGGTTTGTCTTGCCAACTTCGTCTACAGTTTTCATTGTAGAAATATTATCTATGAAGAACGTTCGTATCTAGTTTTAAGATGTATATGTTAACAGATTTGTTATTTTTCTTACATTTCAAGTCACCAAATTTAAAAAGACTAAGTTTCAGAAAAGGACCGGGACAGGATAAAACAAAAGATACATTAGAACAACATGTAGTTGAAAGTACAAGTCTGTGCGAAGCCTGCTAAAAAATAAGGAAGGATAAACACAATTTAAAAATAAATTTGCATGACAGATAATTTCATTGCCTAACGATTTGTGGTGACCAAAAAAGTTAGAATCAAAAGGTCTTATTTGATTTATTGAAATCATCTGTACACACGATTTACGTTGACAATATATGCATTATGTTTTTGTTGTGTACTATGCAAAAGAATAATTTTATTTTATTATGTAAATATATGTTGAATTGAATAATGGTACAAACCTGAGCAGTGGCATTTTAATGTTAAAGCAAAGAAACAAAACACCAACATTATTGCTGAAAAAATACAATAACATACATAGATAAACTAGGCACGTTTAAATATGCTATTAAATATAGTTTAAAGTGCAACATTCAAGAAACGAATTAGGTTAAATGAATACAAATATAATTCTTTCTAATAATCAACGCATCAAAGATACAAGGATTAAAAATTTGGTACGCCAGACGCGCTTTTCGCTAACAGAAGACCCATCAGTGAAGCTTGAATAAAAAAAGGAGAAAAAGCTAAATAAAGTAAAAAGTTTAAAAACATTTTTGACCCAAAATTCCGAAATCTTCTCAAAGACAGCTATGTGAATCTATTCCTGACGTAGAAATTCTTAAGTACTTTGGAAAATTCAAAGTTTCATAAACGTCTTAAATTGTTCCGGCGTCAAAGCTTAACACCAGACATGTTAAAACGTTTTGTCCGTTTCAGAATGTAATACAATTTCTTAAAAAAAAGGCGGATAGTATGAGTGTTCTGTATGTTTTGAAAAAAATCACGAAATGTAGATCGTCTTAACCTTTGAAAGTCACTAATGACCTAACGAATAGCCAATGGAAATGTCGTGATATCGTCTCGTGATGCTGGATAACCTAAACAAATTAACGCAGTTTTCGTATCACCTTTTCGTGTCACACTCCGTGCAGTGTCATACGAGAAATATCCTTTGGCTATTACTGAGTTTGAGTTACTCAATCCTTTGTTATGTATGTCACTATTTCAAAAAATTTACTTTCCTTTTCGTATTTGTTTTTTGTCAATACGTTGTCTATTGTTCGTCGATTAACGGTTTTTAAATGCAACCTTAGTACTTATCAGTATTTTGTATATAAAATAATTAAACTGATTTCATTTCACAGTAAGATACCTATACGAGAATCTCGTAGTAAGGCAGTTAATGCATTAAAACATCAAAACAAAATAAGAAATTCAAATTGTATTTAGAGAATAAAAATTTCGGAATAAAAGAATTGTGAAGTCACAAATAGAAACTATGTATACAAGTTTATATACTGTTCTTTGTCATGTCATCGTTTTTTTTTTCTCGTTTTTTCCCTTAATTTTGTGAGCCTACCTTATGAGTTTTGATTTGGTGTCTTCCGCCTTTTTTTCTATACTGTACCCCGATATCAAATCTTTCGAAAAGTAATAGACCATACAATAAAGGTCATGGATTTTTGAAGGACATCAAGATAAGTATTATGATAGAATGTAATAGAAAAAAATTGCAGAAAAAAACGTATAACAAAAATACCGAACTCCGAGGAAAAAAGGGGGAAGTCCGTAATAGCAATTAACGGAAAAAGTAAAAAAAAAAAACTGCCATATCCTTGCCTTGGAACAAACATTTTCTGAAGATTAGACCTCCCACTTGTATGACAGTTGATTTCAGTTTCGTTATATTGGCAAAATGTGGTTAACAACCCAAAACAGACATAGTAGGTTAATGTGGCAATAAATGGGACAGCAGCAAAAAACTGTGTTGACATACGCCACAGACATATAACACAACAAATTCATAAATTCAAACGAACATACAATTAAATATATCAATACCCAAACAAAATGATGTAGTAGATAGCTCAAAAATCTCATCATAGATGCTAGGATAAAAAAAGTGTACGCCAGACGCACACTTTGTCTACAAAAAAGTGTTTTTCGTTGATAGTACATACTGTTTATAAAATACACTTTATTGATAGAGTAATCATTTAGTTATTTATATACATACAAGGGTAAACTACATAGAAACAACACTTCACAAGTGCTTTAAAAGACGTTGTGTCCGAATCACACCCGAGTACCCACCTACACGAAGCATGTTCAAAGGTAAAAAGTGAAAATCCGATGGCAGAGTGCATAAATACCGAGTCACGTCAAAAGTCATTTGATCAAAAGAAACACAAATCAAGAAGAGAAATAAAGGGGAAACTAAAGTAAAATAAAAAGATACACAACTTCAGCACCTAGAATCTATAACTGAAAGACATCTTAACGATACAAAACCTCAGCACCTAGAATTTATAACTGAAAGCCAGCTTGTATTATTTGAATGAAGGTCAATTTTGAATTGGACTCCTATTGAAATGATCGGTCGAGGGATTTGTCCCTTTTTTATCTTTTAAAAAACAAATTCTGGATTAGTACCACACAATGATTAAATATTGTAACACATTGTCAAATACCATAAAATGTCATATTCGAATTTGACAAATGTGGCATTTACCGTTCAATACTTAAATTGTATGCCTCTATTTATAATTGCCTTGCACATGTTTAAAGGTTGCACTTTGTAAATAGAGCTGTTTCTCAAACCAGGTCTTTTTTGGGGAGATATATAATATTCATAGATATTTCGTTTTGTTTTCGAACTGGTTCCCAAATATGATCTCAATGTTTCATCTCATAGAGACATAACTTTGGAATGTTACCAGTATAAAAACATATTGTTGCGGTGAAAATTAAACTCTAAAGAAGGCACAAAGTAAAGATAGGGGTAGTACAGAGTTTTAGTATAAGTTTAAACTCTAACAAGTCCGGGGTAAATAAATGTTGAAAATATGCCGCACAGCCCTATGTTTTGGCCTTTGAATTAAATAGTAGTGCGTATCACATTTCCTTTCTAAGATATAATTTTTACGAAACTTCATAGTAAAAGTGGCACAGTTTTAGCCGCAAAGGGAGTTCCAATGGGAAATTGCATTGTCTATATTAACAGAAATGAAACCTAAATAGTTTTATTTGTTTCCGATTTTAACTGAAGTATTTGTGTAGCTCATCCTTTGGAATAATGCCAAGACCATCAAGTATGTTAAACGTCATTTTGACAAGTTCGACGTTTAATTATGAAGAGATAAGTTATACACATGTTTGGTCAGTTTTGCTTCTCATAGTAGAATTAATGAGATCTTTGAATTTAAGCTTAATGTCATGGACAATAATATACAGGTCATGTTCGGAATTCGCAGTTTACATTTCTTATTTGTTATTATAATATTTTTCTATCCACCATTGAGTCATCTTTAATTATCAATAACTAAAGGAAAACCCTTATCCAGAAAAAAAAGTATTACAAAAGTGCATGTAAAACTACTGTCCTCTATTATTACTTTTACCGTTTAGTCTATATTTGGAAATATCCGTTTGACGTGGCTCGGATTTATACATCCCGTCATTGTGTTATTGTGCTATGGTAAATTTTAATATTCTTGTCTTTCGTATTGCTAATGTGCTTTGTCTACATGCCTTTTTGTTTTTCTTTGTTGACTTTATTTGTTTGTTTTTATATTAATTAAGATAATAACACAATGTTGACTGTTAAACCCAATTTTTGACATTTGTACCTATTACATGTATTATGTCTGTTTGTTTTATTCACACATCATTGTCAATATAATGGAATTCAAGTGTGAGGTTTAGCTAGCTATAAAACCAGGTTCAATCTACCCTTTTTTACATAAGAAAATGCCTGTACCAAGTCAGGAATATGGTAGTTGTTATCCATTCGTTTGATGGGTTAAACTTTTGATGTCATCTGCTTAGGGACTTTCCGTTTAGAATTTTCCTCGGAGCTTGGTATTTTTGTTATTTTACTTTCTATTCCATGATAGTTTAAGAAGGACAGATGTTACAGTAGTATTCAGATATAGATTCATACTTGGCCTTTTCCACATCGACCAGTTATTACGCGGAGCTCGTTGCTGATGACTATTGTCTTGTATGAGCCAAAAGATGACAACCGTTCTTACATAAAATGTGCAAAGTATTGATCTGTTAATCATATGATTTTGATTGTATAGGTTCTAATTTATACCCTTTATTTTTTTAATTGTAAAACCAGTCAAATATTATATCATTATCAGTGTGACATTGACAAACATTTGTAAATACAAAAACATTCTCAAATGTTTGATCATATCGTGCAAATAATTCATGGCGTGCATGTCAACAGTTTATGGATAGTTTAACCCCGCCACATTCTATTTGTGACTGTCAAAAGTCAGGAGCCTGTAGATCGGTGGTTTTCGGGGGTTCTTGTCTGTCATATTTGTTACTCGTAAATTGTTTTTTTATTAATTATGCCGTTTTTTTTCTGAATTGAATTGTTTAATATTTTTAGTGTTAGGGCCATTTTTAGCCGACTATACAGTATAGTTTTCTCATTGTTGAAGGCCGTACAGCTGCCTATTTTTGCTTACATCTACTTAATTTGAACTTTGGTGGATAGTTATCTCATTGGCAATCATAACACATCTAATTATTTTTTATAATGTAAATAAATAGCCCGTTCTTTAATATTTAGTTAAGGTTTTTCTCGCATTAAATAATTGATTCATCAAATATCTTGTACTCAAGCATTCAAGATACAAAGGGATACAATTCAACACATTTACTCACTTATTATTGAGATAACTGCGACACATGTTTGCTTTCTATATTTTCCAACCCCATAGTTCACTGAATATGTAATAAAAGAGCATTGCAATAAAAAAAATTTTAGTATATGCATCAACAAATAAAATAATGAAATAATATTCTGAGACAATTATGATTATGTATGTAGACTCTAAAGTGCAATGGGGCCGCTAAAACGTGATGGTCACGCTAAAGTGCGATGGCCTACGCTAAAGTGCGATGGTTTGATACGCTAAAGTGCGATGGTGTATAATATTTAATGGAACACGCTAAAGTTCGTTTTTCCGCGAAAATGCGTTTGCTCGCGAAAGTATGGAACAGCATTATGACGCTACACGCCGTTTGTACAAACAAAAATGGACATGCCGGTAAACGAGAATGTTTTTGCAGATGAAGGTTTTTTTTACTAGACACAAAAAGAGAAACAAATGATTCCTATTTTGGTCAGTGCTAGAAGAGTTTGTATGCGGAGGAATTATTTCCCAAAATATCATCGACAGTAACAGAAATGCAAACTTTTGATCCCGCTGTGTCGGCGGGGACAAACGTCTTTCTGACGGAATACTAGAAAATAATACTTCTCATAAACTTAGAAACTGACGATAGTAAGGGGAAAGTGTATACCGAAAAAGAGAGCGAAGACGGCAAAATACACCAATGGTCAAAGTATTTAATTCGTCCAAATTTGATTTAGAAACTCCTATGTTTTTAATCCCATGTCATTTACTTGCGTGAAATAAAAGCTACTTTTTAACTTTCTAATTGAATTATTTTATAAAACAATTCTTTTCAATATGGTTCGTCATGTCTGTAAAAGAGATGGAAAACAATAAACAAAAAAACAAATAAGAAGATGTGGTGTAATTGTCAACGAAACAACTATCCACCAAAGACCATATGCACTTAGCAACATTATGAACTTCAACGTGAAGCCTTGGCTTACGTCGCATAGTAGGTATATAGGACCACGAAATGACTAATGTAAAACAATTCAAAAGACAAAGACAGCAGCATGATTTATAAACAATACAGTAGACGAAAAACTAATATGACCACACCAAAAAACAAAAACCATTGCCTGAACCCCATTTTCGTTACACCATCGCACTTTTAAAAGCGTGTTAAACCAACGCACTTTAGCGTGTCATGTACCATCGCACTGTAGCGTGTCATCTGATAGCACTTAAAAAAACAAACAACCATCGTACTTCAGCGTCTGACACCATCGCACTTTAGCGTAGACCATCGCACTTTAGCGTGACCATCGCACTTTAGAGTAACATCGCACTTTAGAGTCCTACATGTTTATCCTTTCTGTATTTTCCTGTGTATTCGAAGCAATGAACTTATTTTCTCCCGATAGCTTACTCACATTTGCGATACTGATTAGATATAAAATCGAAATTACGACTTTATCCTACAAGATGACTAACTGCTCGAGATGCTACAGTTTTTTCATATATGTTTTTCTTATTAAGCAACATCGTAAAAAATATTTGATTGTATTACTAACGACCTTTTTTGATACATCATTTTGTCAATAACACCTGCTGAGAGGCAGATGACGCGGATATTTATTCCTCCTAATAGTATTATTATCAACAGAAGTACATCCTTGTGGCCTTATTATAAATGTTCGTTAATAATTCTTTTAAATATTCTTAATATGTCAAATCCAACTGAAGATTCATTTGCCTCTGACTGCAATCTTAAATCATTTTAAATTCAAATGAGGGCCATTTGTAAAGGTTCCCCACTACATTATTGTAACGCAATCCAGACAAAAAACCTCAAGACAAACATATATAATTATAATTTTCTTAACGTTTCATTTTGATTCCGAGCAGAAAATTTTTAAAACTTATAACTCAAAATTTAAAAGTGCCTCTAACAGTTTGAAAATATTTGCAATGTGTTAAGTTTCCATATGTACATACTATAGTTTATCTTTATGTAAGTAATCTTTTTTGCAATCGATATATTTAATCTAACAAGTAACATGCACAGTCAAAAATGCAAAATACAAAACAAGTAAAAATTAACATTGCAGGGACAAAAAGTTCAAAACTGGTAGCTGAATTACAAATTCGGTTGATCCTGTCTTGTGTTTACCCAGAATTTCAGTTTTTTATTCCTCACCTTGTTTCCATTGTTTTCAAAGTAACAGTAGAAAGAGTTTATACGAAAAACTAGGTTGACAATTTTTTGTTTCTGAAATGTTCAGGGTTAATAAATATAATCATGCTTATAATGTTTTCGATTGTCCTTAAACATAGCTTCTATAATTTTAACGGTAACAGTAAACCATTTAAGTGTAAGGAATGATTACTACAAAACAGGTTGACATATTTTCTCCAATGTTCAGGGTAGTTACATCTAGTAGAGCGGATAATTTTTGCATGTTACATTTCTAATCTGGATCCTATAGTTTTCACGATAACCATAATAACAGCCAACAACTGCAAAAATTTGAAAAAAATCAATATTTCAGAGGCAATAACTACTTGTTGATTAATTACATTTTCTCGAAATTTCAAGGTGATACATGTTGATTATTTTTGCATTTACTCTTCTCACCAATCTCCTATAGTACTTGAAATAATGGAAAGGAAAGCCAAAAAAGTTAATAAAAACATCGCTGGGCAATAACTTCAAAACATATGGGGTGAAAGATAACAGATAGGTGAAAAATACCATAGGTCGAAAATAAACTGACAATGTCATGGCAAAAAAAAAAAAACAACAGGATACAAACACAACATATAAAACGAAAGACTGAAGAACATTACCCCAAATATAACCGAATTTGATCTCAGGTGCTCCGGATGATTTCCTATAATTGATAAGTTTTAGAGATATTAGCCAAACTACAGTTTGACCTTGTGTTCTATGTTAAAACATGCTGGCTATGTTTGTTCATCAAGCTGAACGAAAATCACACTTTTTATACATGTTATACTTTATATGCTACAGATCAGACAGACAAACTTAGGTACAATTCAATGAGTAGTTTGAGAGAAAGATAAAAATACGGACGAACAGATGACGGACACAAAGTAATAAGAGAATCTCACTTAGCCTTTCGGGAAGCTGTGCTTAAACAGGGTTAACTTTCTGAGAGCAATCCCTCCTTTCTGATAACTTAGAGGCAAATATCATCCTCTCAGCCATGTTTTTCGTGCAGTTTTAAACAATGTTTTACTAATTTTTAACTACCAATGAAATGCACAGGCCTTTTTGCAAGTATCACATTTATTATATGACACAACGAAATAACATCTACCTAGGAATATTTACTTCCACTATTTATCTGTTAGTACTCAATAGTTATACCCCCTTTAATTTGAAATTAATTAGTAGACAACCTTTCAAAAAGTTTCTACGTTAAACCTTCTTTTATAAGGGATCAAGTCAAAATAGAATACAGTATTCAATACTAAATTGCAAAAGTAAGGTATATCCTTGAAAAGATATAATTGCAAAGATTCACTGTGAGTTTGAAATAGTTTCAAAACACGAATATAAGCGTTAACTAAGTATTCTAACAAAATTTTAAAAGTAAATCTAGTATTTACCTATATTATTTCATAATTTGCTTTTGTTCTTTTTTTATCGAACTTGGATCTAACATATAATATAATATAGATTGGATGTGGGGTTTCATAATTTATCAAAAAGCCTTCTAGTATTATAAATCCACTTAACCTTTTTTTACACAACCTATTTGAAATTTACATGGTAATATTAACACACTTAAGTCAAATGTTTTTAGCTCTCTTACAAACTTGTTCGTGCATTTTTCATGGTTGTTCAACTTATATAAAAATATAAAACTTTTAAGGTAGAATTTAGAACCAAATCCTACGTTGAAATTAATCTACAGAAGTGTTTAAGAGCGACTTCAGCTCAGTTTCGATATTGCATTTTACCATTTGGTGTGGAAATAGGCAGTTACTTTGGTCAACATATACACGAGAAACAGTATCGATTATGTAACAACAAAAAGGCAAAATATGAAGTCCATTTCCTGACAGAATGTGATTACTATACAGTACTTAGAAGGGAACTGTATTCAAACATACCGGGATTACAATATTTTTTTAATCTACTTAAATGTGAACAGATAATCCAATTGATTTTATATTTTCCTAGATAATCTGCAATATTTATACAAATCGTTTATAAAACGCAGATAATTCCTCTACAGTAACACATAACTGTACTACTTTATTGATCATTTGTTTGTGCTCATTTCACTGAACTGACGTATAAGTCCAATGGGCAGGTCGTTCATTTATGAATTGCTCTAAAATACATTCATCATGTTCATTGAAATACAATCTTACACATGTCACTGTAATAAACAATATACGTACTTAGTTACTAATTCAACGCAAAATAATTATCTAAGCTTAGCACATACTTACAACTTCTCGTCCAATCAAATAGCTAGAATTTGCCTTCTAATTTTCATAATACATACTTTTTCCATGTATTAGGTAACTACGCATTAATGACCACACGGGTAAGAATTCATTGAACATTGTATCGTAATCGAGATATTATAACAAAAATTGCCACTGGCTATTTTGGAATAAAATGCTGTGTTCCAAATAAAATTAACTAGTTTTTGTTAATTTTTCACATTGATTTTTAAATATCCTGCTAACAAAAGTTTTTGACAATTGCAAGTTTCTTTCATTTAGATAAAGAGTAAAAAACATGATTCTTTATACCTTGATGTGGGTATAACGCTATCTTAAAATTGTGATAATTTATCATCCATGCAATTACTTTGTACACAAATAAGTGTGTACTATGAAATCTCGTGAAGGAAATTGATATATTTCGTATTGAAGTGATTGATTGATTGATTATTAGTTGCCTTATGTCCAGTGGCAAATATTTCATGCATGTTAAGGACGATGTCCTGAATTGACAAACCGTGATAATGTCTGAAGAGAATGTACCACCTAGTTTTGACTTTGAAATTAAAAAAAAAAAAAAAATATAATCTTTGAATTATTGGTAGTTACTTTTTA